TGGGGGGGTAGATGGCTCTTCACCCATCCGTGTGCACCCCCTGAGGCCTTTCTAAGTACCCCCTGTCCTAGTTTCTCTCTCCTTCATGCAGTTGAAGTGTTCAGACATCTGTTGTATACCTTCCAAGAGATCTGAATGTTAATATCATGGGAACAAAGCGGTCTGTAAATTTCCTTAGTTTTTTAAACATCAAAAAGCCCTGATTCCAGACTGGGAAGAGAGGTTTGGGCCCTGAAGTCTATGAAAAGGAATCCCTAATCCTGCAGGCACTGGGAAATGCACAGTAGTCCCAATGCATCAATCACCCTTCCAAACTTCACCACCTTTGGGATGAGGTTCCACTCCCCCACTACCCTTCCCTCTCTCCCATGTCACCTCAGAGAAACAAAAATATTGTTTGCCTATAGGCTGCTATGACTGCAAATGTAGTTTCCTAGCAATATGTGGTTGTCCTAATAATTTTAAGGGTGGTGCTTCATTGTAAGGCAAGTTAAGATGAAATCCACTAGCTGGTGCAAGAGTTTAAAATATTCTACATGCTCTGTTTTGGAACAATTTTCCAGGGTCTCTTTTTTTCTCAGTCTTTTCCTCAGAATGTCTGTCATTCATTCTTAAGTATTTAGTTTTGTCCTTGCTTTTGTGTAAATGTCAGTGCCTCTGCTAATGTGGCTGACCATTTTAACCTCAATATGAATTTCCTAACTCCAATACTCAATTTCTCATATTTAACACTGCCTTTGCATATTTCAACAAGAAATTAATAAGTAATTAAACCTATTTTTCCATGTATGTAAAGGGGAAGAGATGCACCTGATCAGCTTTAACCTTTGCCTTCCTGATTTCTGAAACCCACATATGTGCACTCAGTGTATTTTGGTTTTAACTTATTATATTGATTTTAAATTTATTTAAATTTTGAGAGAGGAAAGTTCCCCTTCTCAAACAGATGCCAACCAGCAAAGGCTAAAGATTGCTGTGAAGTGTAACGAACAACCTGTGAGCTCACAGACTTAAGACGTTAATCAGGCAAAGGTCAGCTAATGACTGCTGGCACAGCAAGTTATGTAGACACTTCCCAGTCTGCATATATACTGAGCTACGTAGTGGCATACCATGAGTTAAACAGGTCCTACAGCTCTTTAAATTTCAACGTTCAGAAGTAAATTTCTTCAAATCTGGTATAAGTTCTAGGTTTCAGTAAGATCCAGATTCTGCCTTGAAGCTGGTCAGTTTCAAAGCTAATTCATATTGCTCTCAGTAGATTCGCAAAAGCAGATATTTCCCTAACTGTGCTCCTGTCTTAGCACTTCACCTGCAGCTGCCAAGGAATTTTCTGCTCTGCATCTGAGTAGTCAGAACTTTAGTTGCACATAAGACTCTTCCCTGGCAAGTCAAGGCCAAGGAGGATTATCTTAAGTCTAACCTTACATCTTTGCTTTTCTTGTACTTCTACCACAAACTAGATCAGACTTATCTTTAAATTAAACTATTTCCTCCTTTTCTGGGTCTCATCTTGGTGGGAATACCTACGCTGTGCTAGAGAGTTTGACAATGGAAGCCCAGCACCTCTTTCCTTGTGTGTTATCCCTTGAATAAAGTGTAACATAGTTAATCTTAGTCCCACACTGGCAACACACCAGCAAACACACCTAAGACAGAGCTGATAGCATGTGACCAATGCCACACTAAAAGTGATTACATTACACTACCTTGGATGTTCCAGGTTTTACTATGGAGCCCCTCCTTTGTGGTCAGAACACAATACAGGCACATCTTATGCTTCTTTCTCAAGGATATCAACACTAGCCGTTTTTTGCAGCTCCCCCCTCTCCCAGCAGCTGGCTAAGGAACTGGTTTAACAGTGACCCAAAAGGGAATGAGCTCCTTTTCCTTGCCATTTGGGATCTTCCATTGTCCAAATTCTCTGGGGAAAATCATAGGCACTGGAAGGTGGCTTCAGTTCATAAATGACATTGTGCAAAACAAACTTAATAGCCTTCCTTGATAGAATAATAAATTCAACAGACAAAGAAAACATCATGGACACAATGTATCAAGAGCTTTACCATGATCTCAATAATCTCCCCCAGGGATCTTACTTGAAGTGGTAATATTTGGATAGTACAGAGGTACAGGAACAACTGAATGCCAGATTGATTATAAGCTAAGAGATACAGAGTAGAATCCTGGAGTCAGCAATGGGAATTTCACTCAAGCAGCTTTGGAAAGCAGGAACTGCCAGGCCAGCTTTAAATTAGTGGGCCACCTAGTCCACTATCCTATTTCCAATAACGATCGGGTGTCAGAAAAACATAAAAGAAACCTTGTGATGCATTATTATGGTTTAACCCACTCCAGAGAGTGCTGCCTCTAAGCCCTAATAGCTGGAAGTTGGCTTTTGACTTGAAGAAGGCTCTTTCTTTTTTCATTCAGTTGAAAGCCTACAGCAGGGGAAGTGTGTTTAAAACATTTCGCTACAGTCAGAGATGAAAGTTAAAGTCTGCCTTTAGTCAATGGTACTGTAAACAGGTTGTTTAAATTGGGCAAATCAACGGTGGTGCTGGTCACATCACTCCTTGCGTTTCATTAGCTATAGAAACTGGGGTGCCTTACCCATGCTAGCCTGATGGGCCAAGAGGGACTTTTAACATCAGACAAAAGACCCACACTTCATTTAAAGATCTTTCTATAATCTGTATATATTTTTCTAGTCAAGCTAAGCCTTTTTTCATTTACCTCAAGAACCTTATGCCAATTCATTCATTGGCTAACAGTATAACACCACTGCCTTTTACCCACTACAAATTGCACCCCCTTCCATTTAAATCAAAGTCTGCTTGTTCTCATAGTATGAGATAAAATGAAGAAAGGTGCCTAATATATCTTCTCTTGATTCACCTAAATAATTTTGTTCCATCTACAATTTTTACCAGCTTTCTCCTTACTCTTCATACACCCAACAGAACTATATTACATGTTACTCAAATCTGCAGATGACCCTAATTTAGAAGGGTCTGCAGTCATTACAGGAGGTTTTAAATGTCTTGAGAAACAGATAACAGAGCGGACTAATTGCAACCAACCCCCTTTTAGGATAAGTAAGAAAAGGTCCAAAATAAGAAATGCCGGAGAAAGCCAAGGAAAGAACAGACATCAGATTAGATGGGCCTCCAGCACAAAGCTGGTGCATGGAAACATGTAGAGAAGGGAGTCTTGTCCAGTAAGACCCAGTTGTGGTAATACAGCCTACTTATAGCAGGAGTTCCTCATGCTTAAAAAGAAAAGATGTTGATAAACCAGAGGGAATTCAAAGAACCAAAAGGATTGCAAAGAACAACCTGCAGAGAGAACTTCACAGGAGCAAAATATATGCAGGCTGCAGAAGAGTGTGGGGGATGTAGGAGCTGGACAGGAAGGCATGAAATCCCACATTGCTTGAGAACTGGAATTATTTGAATAAATATTGAATAAGCAAATAAATATTGATGAAAAGGCTATAATAAAGAGGCAAAAAGCTTCATATTCTCTCCTCTGAGTACACATTTCCCATAAGCCAATGGGACGGGCTTATTGGCTCCTCCCTTTCTCTGCATGTCCAACTTCTAGTAAACCTTCAACCATCCTTGGAAGGTCCTTTCACTTTACCTACAAATCTGCTAGGCTGAGTTGCTTACCTTTGCCACCTTATTTTCTGTGGCATGTTGTACTTACTGGAAAGCCATGGCTCCTGCTTCTAGGGTGCATCTTGTAGGGGACTGCTCATTCAGCTTGCGGAATAGCTGTTTAGCTTGGCTCTGGTACTGCTGCAGGTCCCGACCTGACTGAGAAGGGAAAAAGGTCTATTAGGCAGGGGTCTTCCACCCAGCAGAACATACACAAATACAGCAACCTTCTAAAGGATGGATCTGGCCTTTTCACAAAAGGAAACTACCGTAATAAGCCTAGTAAATGCAGAATATTTTTAGCAGAATTAGATCTGAAATCCATGGTCACAGACCTATTAAGTGACAGATCCTGGAAGACCTCAAGAATCTAACTCTGCTGAATGCCTCAGTCCCCTGCAGGGTAAGCAAGTCACATATGAGGTCCCCAGGGAGCTTGATTTGTAGCTTCAGTACAGAGCAGGTACCTAGGCCTCTCTGACCTGAATAAAATGGGAGGGGCCTATAAATTACAAGGCCTCTCGGGAATTTTACTTTGATTTCTCAGGCTTGCATGTTGGAGGATTCAGGGATAAGGGGGGAGACGGGAAGAGAGGAAGGAAAAGTACTCGGTGGCATAGACAGGGTGGATCTTGGTTTCTCTCGCTATCTTAATGTATTTTAACACTACTATGCTGGAATCTCTAGAAACTGCGTTGCTAGTTCAGGGGTAATTTCATGTCTCTTGAGTCGATATGCTAGTCAGAGATTAGATTTCAGTACCAAACCCAATTTCCGCTTCCCTCATGACTGGGGTTTCTGTCTCAGGACTGGCACTTTAAGCCTTGATACCTGAATTGTGGGAGCAGAGTGGCTATTAGTCCTGGGGAAAGGGTCCAACTTCAGTGTCAGTCTGTCTTGATGATAATACTGGTTTTTTTGGGTGGTTGGTCTTTTGGGTACATGGGAAAAGAAGAGCTATCTTTTCAGGATCCCAGAGGTGGGAGGACAGGCTCCATGTGCCTAGTAATCATGATGGTGAGAGTGGGATCAGCAGGGATGTAAAGCAGCCTTTAATTTTCTTCATTTCTGGAGTTCAGTGATGGGGAACAGGAAGGATGGCTCCAGTTTCTGCTAGAGCCCGGATGTTAGAGCAGGGCCTCTTAGTGTCCATGAAGAGATTTCTCAGTCTCCTGGATTGCTGGCACAGGAAGAAATAGGTCCCGATGTCTTTCAGGATCTGTCTGCCAGGATCTGCCTCAGTCCTAGCAGCTGTAAAAGTGGGTTTCTCTCTTTCTGGGTCTTGGTACCTGGGGATGCCTGGGTCTCAATCCTGGTGCTCAAGAAACAGCTACTAAATGCCATCAGTCTTTCCTGACGCGTTTAGTGGCACCATCCAGCGTTTCTCCAGCCTGAAATGTCACATACTCAGCTCCTGCAGAGCTGGATTTATAGCCCTGCT